CTTGGTGACAGTACGATTGGCACTTGAAAAGAATGTGTATTCTGCTACTGTTGGGTGGGGTGTTCTAGAAATGTTTATTAGTTCCGTTTGGTTGATGGTGGCCGATTCCTCTATAACCTTACTGATTGTATGTCTCAGTTCTATTGATTACTGAGAAGAGCATTCTTGACTGTACATGTATATTGACTATATATATGTGTGTATATATATATATATGTATATATATAGATACTCTTCTATTATAATTATGGATTAAAAATAATTTTATATGTGTTTGCACTCTAATTTTCAGACTTGGTTATCAATATTATACCATCTTCAAATTATTTGTATATTTCTCTCTTTTCCATGCTTTAGACGAGGGGTCGGCAAACTGGCCACCTGTATTTGTAAATAGGAACACAGCCACACTCATTCCTTTACATAGTGTCTATAGGTGCTGTCACATCACAGTGACGGAGCTGAGTGGTTTTGACAAACAGTATGGTCCACAAAACCTAACGTGTTTGCTATCTGGCCCTTTAACAGAAAGTTTGATGATCTCTGCTCTAGACTGTCTTCAGCTCCTTATCTGAGTTATTTATTCAATCTGCACAGGCCTGAGAGGTAAGTACTGGGATTCCCATCTTATAGATAAGGCATAGGGAAAGTTAATTAATTTGCCTAAGGTCACACACTTTAAGATTTAAGAAAAATCTTAAAAAAGTAGTAATATCCAGAAGGTATAAAAAGCTGCTACAAATCAAGAAGATAAATGTAAACAACCCAATAGAAAAGGGGCAAAAGATAGAAACAGGCACTGATAGATAAAGGAATGGCAACAGCCAGTATACATGTGAAAAGATGCTCAGACTTACAAGTCATCAAGCACAGGCAGGATCAGACAAGATACAATGTTTTTCACCCAACAGATTAGAAGTTTGACACCAGGGCTAGGGAGGGGGCCTGCAAATGGCTTCTCTTGCACTGCTGGTAGCAATGTGACACTTGTACTGCCTTTTTGACTGGCAATTGGGCAGAATCCACCACCATTTAAAATGCACTTCATGGCCAGGTGCGGTGGCTCAATCCTGTAATCCCAGCACTTTGGGAGGCCGAGGCGGGTGGATGAGGTCAGGAGATCCAGATCATCCTGGCCAACATGGTGAAACTCCGTCTCTACTAAAAATACAAAAATTAGCTGGGCATGGTGGTGGATGCCTGTAATCCGAGCTACTGGGCAGGCTGAGGTAGAAGAATCGCTTGAACCAAGGAGTCGGAGGTTGCAGTGAGCCAAGAATGCACCACTGCACTCCAGCCTGGAGACAGAGCAACACTGTCTCAAAAAAAAAAAAAAAAACAAACAAAAAAAAAACCACTTCATTCGGGAGCAGCAGTTCCACTTCTAGACTATAGCTGGTCTCAGGCACGCACAGAGATGTTCACACACACACAAACTCTCCCGAGGAATCTCCAGTCGGCCTTACCGGCTGAATGCCCCCGTCCTCTCTGCTACCCTCCAGGCTATGCAAGGATCCTCCAGGCGCTCAGGGCAGAGGCCGCCTGCATGCCTCTCCCTGCCCGTCGGGTGAGGTCGCATCCACTGCCACTGGCATTCCTCAGACTTATTCAAGCCGGTGCACCTGTGGTGCCGTTGTATCATTTAATGATAAAACCCAATGAATTCTCAGTGGAAAGAGGTTGTTTTTAGGAAAACTGAGCTGAAAGCTCTGAAGAGTCCAGGAAAGGCAAGTTGCCGAAAGACCATCACCAAAACCAAGCTGCTACTGAATGTGCTGAAACTAAACGAAGCGTAAGCACTGTAAAAATCCAGAGGTTTGCCCTTAGTCTTCATAGGTGTCTAAACTCCAAAATCAGAGGTACTGATGACTGTGCCTAATCAGGAGAGATGACGTAGGTAAAGCTGGTCGCCCAGTGAAAACCATGATCCAAGAAATGGGCTGCACCCATTTGCATTGTTTGCATTTTTTTAAACAATGAAAATGCATAGAGGAGTTATGTATTTACTTGTAAAACATTTTAAAATATAGTGGTACTTTATTAATGAATAAGATGACAAAAGAAAATTACTCTGTTCACTGGGGTAAATTTTCTTGCCCTGAATTCTACTCTGTCTGATAATACAACGGGTTTAGTTTTCAAATCAATTGGAGAATTTTTCTTTTCTTTCTTTCTTTTTTCTTCCCCAGAAACAGAGTCTTGCTCTGTCACCCAGGCTGCAGTGCAGTGGGACGATCTCGACTCACCACAACCTCCATCTCCTGGGTTCAGGAGATTCTCCTGCCTCAGCCTCCTGAATAGCTGGGATTACAGGCACCTGCCACTATGCCTGGCTAATTTATTTATTTATTTTTTTTTTGAGACACCACAGTCTCACTCTGTCGCCCAGGCTGGAGTGCAGTTGTGCAATCTCTGCCTCTCGGGTTCAAGCGACTCTCCTGCCTCAGCCTTCTGAGTGGAGTAGCTGGGACTATGGGTGTGTGCCACCATGCCCAGCTAATTTTTGTATTTTTAGTACAGACGGGGTTTTGCCACATTTGCTGGGCTGGTCTTGAACTCCTGACCTCAAGTGATCTGCCCACCTTGGCTTCCCAAAGTGCTGGGATTACAGGCGTGAGCCACCACACCCAGGCTCAACTGAAGAATTTGTCTTCAGAAATGGAGGAATTTAAGCCATTACATGTACTCACGGATTTGTTTGCTGTTAAATCTGCCACTAATTTGGTGCGGTTTGTTTTCGTGATTCTTCATCGTTTATGACAGGGAGCTTTGCTTCTGTTCTGTAATAGGTTTCTATTATGTGTTTAAGTTCTACCAGGATTTATTTCTTTATGATGGGCCCTTTCACTGCTTTTAGGTTTGTTTACGTTGTAAAAGGTTTCTACCATGTGTTTAAGTTCTACTAGGATTTGTTTGTTTTTGAGACGGAGTCTCGCTGTGTTGCCCAGGCTGGAGTGCTGGAGCGCAGTGGCTTAATCTCAGCTCACGGCAACCTCTGCCTCCCAGGTTCAAGTGATTTTTCTGCCTCAGCCTGCCAAGTAGCTGGGACTACAGGCATGCGCCATCACGCCTGGCTAATTTTTGTATTTTAAGTAGAGGCAAGGTTTCGCCATGTTGGCCAGGCTGGTCTTGAAATCCTGACCTTGTGATCTACCCACCTTGGCCTCCCAAAGTGCTGGGGTGGCAGGCGTGAGTCACTGCACCCAGCCCTTATTTCTAAGTTTTACATTAGAAGTTTTATTTAAAATGAATCAATGCAGCCATTTACAAATCTGCTCACAAGTTAGGGAGGATGTCAAATTTTTCATTTTCCAGGCTCTACCGGGCAGGACACCAGGTGAAGCCCAGGTGGCCCTCAAAAAGCTACTGTTATTAAGCCTTCACTAGTAGCAACTCCATTCATCATAAAACCAAGTCTGAGGTATATGATGCTGCTCAGGAACTAGTCACAGTTTTGGTCATTAACAGTGTATACAGGCTGCTGTTCTGTATTTAAGTAAACAAGAGCAAATGTTTCTGTTGAAACTAGTGCAGGAGTACTGGGGATTAGGGAAAGGCAGGACCTTTGGAGACACATGGATGGGCTTAGCCAAGCATGTGCGTGTGCTCGGGAATGCAGGTGCGTGTGCTCGGGAATGCAGGTGCGTGTGCTCGGGAATGCAGGTGCGTGTGCTCGGGAATGCAGGTGAGTGTGCTCGGGAATGCAGGTGCGTGTGCTCGGGAATGCAGGTGAGTGTGCTCGGGAATGCAGGTGAGTGTGCTCGGGAATGCAGGTGAGTGCGGTGGGGGCGAGATGGAGCGGAAGAGGACACAGAGGGTGAAACTGGGTGGACCAAGTGCTTATAAAAACCAAATCTCTTCATTTTTCCCTTCTGTATCCACTTTTTAAATTTCACAGTGAACACAAGCTTGCCTGTTCACAGTTTCTCTCCACCTCTTCCTGTTTACTCCTGACCATACTCGTTTCTCTATACCACAAATTTTCCCTTAATACTCAAATAATCTTTGTTCAGCTGAAACAAACACTTAGATTTCTTTTTCTTTTTTTTGAGATGGAGTTTCGTTTTTGTTGCCCAGGCTGGAGTGCAATGGCACGATCTTGGCTCACTGCAGCCTCCACCTCCTGGGTTCAAGCAATTCTCCTGCCTCAGCCTCCCTAGTAGCTGGGATTACAGGTATGTGTCACCACACCTGGCTAATTTTGTATTTTTAGTAGAGACCAGGTTTCTCCATGTTGGTCAGGCTGGTCTTAAACTCCCGACCTCAGGTGATCTGCCCACCTCTGCCTCCCAAAGTGCTGGGATTACAGGCATGAGCCACCACGCCTGGCCCACTTAGATTTCTTATTCATTTGTTACTGTTTTTAATTAATTATTTCTCCCTGCTAGCAATGAACCATCAAGCAACTCAACAATTTTGCCTCAGCCTAACTGACAGTCACTGAAGTCCACCTGAACCATCAAACAAAGGGGCAAGAGACACGAATCCCAGATTTCTGCAGCATTTCAAGGGCAGGTGGGCAGGCTGAGGGACATCCTTTAGAGACCCCATTCATCTGAAGTTCAGATAGCCCCAAAAGAAAGTGGTGGCATGAGATAGTGAGTGCAGAGAGACACTGCAGGCATGTGCCATCAGCACAGAGGACTGGAGCTGTGCCATAGTCACCCTGAGGTCAGCATTGCCTAGTGCTGTGGCATTCACACGTGACGGCTATACCCAACGATGGTAACGAAGGGTGGAAAAGCTACGATCGTACTATATCACCAGACAGCAACGCTTCAAATGCTCAATACTGGGGGTGAGCTACCCTAGAAGGTAACTGGGTGTCTTTTGCTGCCTGTAAAATCAGGTTTATTTTTCTGCATGTTCTAGATGGATAACCCTGCGGGCAGTTCCTCTGGTGAACAAGCTGGGGCATCTCAGCCCCTAGAGGAAGCCTCAGCCCCAGCAGTGAAGGCCACCCGTGTGCTGTGGGGAGCCCCCGCCTCGACGCCTGTTACCTCCTGCAGCTTGATCTCTTCGGGCTGGAGGATCTCAAGCACACCGCTGCTCCGGATCTCGGGAAGATCCTGCCAGAGGTTGAACCTTGAGTGGGGGTTACTGAGCAGGCAGATCTGGGGCAGAGCCTTCCTCTCTGGTGGGCTGGCCGGTTCCTCCTCCTCCTCTTCTTCCTCCTCCTCTGGGGTGTCCTCGCCAGCTGGGGACCCATCGTTACTGTCTTGGATTTCTGCGTCTTGTTGCCTCCTGGTTTCAATTTCTTGGAGAGTCGATTTATCACGGTATTCCTGATACAGGAGCCCTGAAATCAAAGAGTTGTAAAAAAGAAAAGGAAAAGACCTCAGATGACAATCATTCCAAATCCCCACGTCAAGGCCTCATGTTCTTATCAAGGGTGACTGCTTTCCGAAAACACCCAGTGCAAGCCAGCCCTGCATCGGTCTCAGCAGCAGGCTCCAGACCACAAAATACACCACCATCATCTGCGTTTCTTAGGAAAGACCAGCGTGCTTCTGCTTTATTCCAACACACAAAGAAATGCCCAAATGGACTCAAAATCCAGTCACCAATACATGATTTCCCCATACACATTTGGCAAACAAGAACCTAGAACCTGATATGTCCACTGCCAAGTTAATGGGAAAGTCCCAATCGTGTCTCACTACCCAGCAGGGTAATTTCCATAGCCCTAAATGCTTCAATATTCAAACCCAGGAATATTCATCTGTGCAGTGGGAGTAGCTATAAATTCTCATTTTGAAGGAAAAATCAGCATTTCATTAACCTTATGATTTAAAAAGGGAAACTTTCTCTTTTTGCTTTCACAGTTGCAGACTTCACCGACCAACTGTACTTGCCATGAATGCTTTCCAGTCTCTTAGTGATTCCGGGGTGCAGCTGAATCAGCGCAAATGCAGCACCTCCAAAGGCATAACCCCGTTTCTGATGTCCTGGCCTTGGGACACAGGGACTTCCTCTCCGCACAGGCAGCCATGTCGGGGTCAGGGAGTTGCTGTGGCTGGGTGGGACAGGGAGGGGCCATCCTGCTGCAGGCTGCGAGGAAAGGGATCAGACCCCAAGGGCTTGTCCATGGTGCTACAGAGGCAGGAGTCTAGCCCGAGGGCAAGGGCCAAACACACTCTGTTCTACATTTTATTGTTTTAAAATTTATTTATTTTGAGGTTGGGCCTCACTCTGTCACCCAGGCTGGAGGGCAGTGGTGCAATCACAGCTCACTGCATCCTCCATCTCCTGGCTCCAGTGATCCTCCTGCCTCGGCCTCCTGTATGCCACCATGGCCGGCTAGTTTTTCCTTTTTCTCTCTTTTTTTTTTGCAGTGATGAGGACTTGCTATGTTGCCCAGACTGGTCTTGAATTCCTGGCCTCAAGCCTCAATTCCTTGTCTTGAGTTCATCTCCCCTCAGCCTCCCACAGTGCTGGGATTACAGACGTGAGCCCCTGTGCCTGGTCCTGTCTACATTTTAGAAGCGTGGACTGGGAGAAACAGTCTGTAGCAGCTCCACAGAAGAGCCAGGACGGAGGCCTGCACTGAAGGACTGGGGAGGGGAGGAAGCCAAGTGCTCAATTCGGGGACAGTTACAAGATTGAGAACAGTTCCGGGCCATGAATAACATCCAGGTGACCAGTGTGGAAGCTGAGAGTCTGGCTGAGGGTGGCATCAGGGTGGCGAGGAGCGAGATGTACCCAGGCACCCAGGTGGAGGCCTCGTGGGTGGCAGGGTGTCCTGGTCTGGCACTTGGGACAGTGGCCGAGACCCCTCGATATGTCTAACCATGAGACAAAGATGATTCCCAGAAAGTTGCAATATGGATAAATACACCACTTGCTAAGCACTTGCTGTTACGACGCAGTACAACTGTTAGCTATTATTCCTTCTTTATCCAATAGTCAAATATGTCTCAACAGTAGAAAAAGGAAGAAAAGAAACACAGACCACCTTCGAAATCCTGAACGAGGCTGGAGAAATCATATTCATGAACAGGAACCTAATATGGCCACCCTGTGGATTCAATTACTCGGCTTCCACGCTCCATAACTCCTGATTACAAAGCCTTTCTGCTACGATAAGGAGAGCATCCACTTCCCCAAGCTAAGGTCCCCTGCTCTTCCAACGACGCAGCCCAGCCAGATACAACAGGGAGTTGATTCGACAAAGGGATAAAAAAGAAAATCCAACCCTATGCTAAATGCAACCCTGACTGACGAACTATAAAGACAAGTCTTACGTCACCACCTAAGTCAGTTCAATAATGAGCGGAGGGTATGCCGACTGTTGGGACATCAGATTGTCACCATCCTGTGATTCTGACACTGTGGTTACAGAGGGTTAAAGAAACTAAGTTTCAAGTGTTGACTTGGATTCACTTTGCAGTGCGTGGTGCAGGGTCTCCTTCATAGCAGGTACGAAACTATCTGTTGAACACCTTTTAAGAATGCAGTTTCCAAGGCCGGGTGCAGTAGCTTACGCCTGTAATCCTAGCAGTTTGAGAGGCCAAGGCAGGTGGATCACTTGAGGTCAGGAGTTTGAGACCAGCCTGGCCAACATGGCAAAATCCCGTTTCTACTAAAGATACAAAAATTAGCCGGGTGTGGTGGCGGGCATTTATAATCCCAGCTACTCGGGAGGTTGAGGCAGGAGAATCGCTTGAACCCAGAGGGTGGAGGTTGCAGTGAGCTGAGATTGTGCCACTTCACTCCAACCTGGGTGAAAGGGTGAAACTCTGTCAAACAAACAAACAAACAAACAAACAAAAAACCCCAAACACAAAACAAAACAAAAAAACCCTCAGTTTCCAAGCTTCACAACTGTCGCACTTGGCGTATTTTTGAAGGCTCAGAAATATGTCTTATGTGTGCTATAGTCGGCAAATCACGGGTGAACACTATCTTGAACATCTTACTGTGATACATATGCTGAAAAGAGACAAAAATATCAGCACTGTGGGTAGCTGCATTGAAAAGAATAGCTCTGAAGTCACCTTGTGGCAGACGCTGTTGGCCGCCCTCCTGCACCCACCTGTGCCCCTCTCCCCGGTTGGCAGGGGAGGGCTTCTGTTTGGGTGCTGACCCATTCTGTGCTCAGGGAAGTGAGTGAAGGCTGACTGATCAAAACCTACCATGAGGCTGAGCACGGTGGCTCACACCTATAATCCTAGCACTTTGGGAGGCCAAGGTGGGCAGATCACTTGAGGTCCAGGAGTTTGAGACCAACCTGGGCAACATGGGGAAAATCTGCCTCTACTAAAAATACAAAAATTAGCTGGGTGTGGTGGTGGGAGCCTGTAATCCCAGCTACTTGGGAGCCTGAGGCAGGAGAATCACTTGAACCCAGGGGCAGAGATTACAATGAGCCAAGATCATGCCACTTCACTCCAGCCTGGGCAAAAGAGGGTAACTATGTCTCAAAAAAAAAAGAAAAAAAAGAAAAAAAAACCTACCGTGATAGTTCCTTGCCCCTTGCCAGTGGGGGGTTAAATGCAGGCATGCGGCACAGCCTGGCCCATGGTGTGAGTGCTAGCGTCCCCCCAGATACATGTGTTGGAACCTAATACCCAATGTGAGGGTTTTAAGAGGTGGAGCGCTTGGAAAGTGATTAAGACATGAGGGCACTGCCTCCGTGAGAGGGGTTCACACCCTTCCTTATAAAAGAGGAGGAAAGGGCCGGGCATGGTGGCTCACGCCTGTCATCCCAGCACTTTGGGAGGCTGAGGTGGGTGGATCACCTGAGGTCAGGAGTGTGAGACCAGCCTGGCCAACATGGTGAAACCACATCTCTACTAAAAATACAAAAATTAGCTGGGTGAGTTGGCAGGCGCCTGTAATCCCAGCTACTCAGGAAGCTGAGGTAGGAGAATCACTTGAACCGAGGAGAAGGCTGCAGTGAGCCGAGATTGCTCCACTGCACTCCAGTCTGGGTGACAGAGTGAGGCTCCATCTTTGATGCAGAGACCGCCAGTCCTCGGCAGGTCTGAATCTGTTGGCACTGTGATCTTGGACTTCCCAGCCTCCAGAACCATGAGCAATAAACTTCCGTTATTTATAAGCCATCCTGTATATGGATCTTGTTATAGCAACTGGAACAGATTAAGATACTGGACAAGGAGAGGAGGGGCACATCTTCTAAAGGCTTGTCAAAAAGCTGTCCCTCCCCAGTAGACACTTGAAGACAAACTGCCCTTCCTGTTTCACACACGGCTCCCTGAGAATGTGATGCCTGGGGCCACGGCAGCCGTCTTGTAACACAAGGCCCACCTGGAGGAGGCAAAGCAGCTGGGCGATTGTTTGGCTGAATGAACCAACTCTGGAACTTCCTACCTTTGGGCTCATTAACTGCGATGGGACACCTTTGTTGTTTTAAGATCACTTTTTGCTAGATATTCTTTTACCTGCAGCCAAAGACTGTCAATATGAGGAACTTTAGAGTCTTCTTAAAACTTTCTACTTTTTTCTGGGGTATTTAGAAAACAACTTTAGACACCAGTGTTTCTGGAGTTACTGTGTCACACCATCATCTGATAGTGTGTAACCATTTCTCATAGCCTTTCATTTTTATTTGCTTTAAATTCAGATGACAAAACAAATGTTTCTTTGCCTGAGGAACTATAACAGCGGATTAAATTCTGTAGTCAGCGTACTATGTGTACATCATGCTTTACCAGTTTATATACTGTACACTCAGTAGGCACAACTTTAAATGGAAATAAACTTTACTTGTAAAGGCTTGCACTAGGAATGACCTCCGAGTGGAACTGGAAGGCTCCGTCCCCATCTCTCCTAATTAAAATGATCTGTGCCAGGCTGGTCATGCCGACCAGGAGGGTAAGCCCCAGCTCCTCTTGCCAAAGCCCCCTGAGTCATTCAAAATCTCTTTCCAAAGAGAATTTGTTTTCTTTGAATCCTTCAAAGAGCAAGAAATATATTTAATATATATTTAAATATAAACATTTATATTTATTATATATAAATACATATGAATATAGATAAATAAATAAATGTATTATTTAGTAAGCACCTTCCATGCTCCAAGAATTGTGTTAGGTGCCAGAAGCAACAACAGGTGCACACACACACCCAGCCACAGGCCTGAGAGTCTATGACCTACCAGGGCCACTGCCAACTGCAGTGACAGCTGTACACCCTACCATGCCTGGTCCTGACAGAATTCTGTTGAGCCTTGGTGAGAGCCACTGCACAATCCAACACGGTGGTCTGCACAATGCACACAATTCATCCCTCTTTCCTTCCCCCTTAATCATCTTTAGGAAGCTGCGGTCCTTTCCTACCACTTGGCAAAGAATTCCTGAACTCACAGAGCTGAAGGCATCTAGGCTGTTGGAGGGATCCGCTTAGCACAGACCTCAAGTCTATGACAGAGGACATGAGAAGAGGGTGGGGACAGCCCTGGGCTGTCAATCAACACATCTGTTGAGCCCCTACTATGGGTCAGGTCCAGGAGCCAAGAAAAGACATTCACCATGAACAACACCAGCAGACACCTCGCAGGGGTAGTGGGAGGAAAGACTCAGAACATCAGAGGCCCTGCTGCTTCCCAGGTGAGCAGAGTGACGCCCCAAGCGGGCAGGCACTAGAGCTTGGGGCCCTGCCTGCCAGCTTCGGACTTCTGCCACTGGCGGAGCAGGTCCAGCCGTCTCCAAGACAGATAGCTCCACACACCCACAGTGCAGAAGGGAGGCATGATCTCCTCCCCAAGCTGGATGTCCTTCCTAGTCATGACATTGATCTTAGCCAAAGAGGGTAGAGGTCAAAGTCTCCAGCGTAGGCTAAGGCAGATGCAGCAGCATGGCAGAGCTGGGAGAAAGGGGTCGTCAGGGGCCTTTGTTTTAAAGTAAGGATTTTCTAATTGGCATCAGTTTCAGATCAGCGCCTCTCCATTCCCCCAGTAAACAAAGGGAAAACCACCACCACCACCACCACCACCACCACGCAGCCTGACGCGTGGAGGGGGCCACTGGGAACAAAATTCCTGGAGTCAGCACCTTAACAGCATGGCAGTGTGCGCTCCACCCCCTCAGCTTTGCAAGGGCTCAGTTTAGAAAGATCCCTGCCAGGGAAGAGTGGGCTGGCCGGGAAAGGTCTCCTAAGCACGGGGTCTCCGGTGGCAAAGGAAGCTCCATCTCCCCACTGAAGACGCTTTGTGTCTGTCCAAGCATTTGGGACTGGAGGGCAATAATCATATATTTAGGGAAGAAGTTTTCCAAACCTAGAATTTTTATTTAACAGATAGACTGTCGGCTGCTCTGACCACAATGAAGAACGAAAAGACTTTCTAAGCAGCCGAAGCAGCCGGCACCATTTTCAGAGTAAGGGAGCCTGTATTATTCATTCACGGGTGCCTTTCGGGAAGACCTAAGAACTAGCCTGATGTCACCAGCGATCTTTTTTTTGAAATGCAAGTGCTAGAGTTCTTGGGTCACTGTTTCAATCCACCTTCTCTATTCACAGTGCTTCAGGTGCAGCTGGGTAGCAGTTGGACCACACAGGCTGAGCCTCGGCTTCCCTTCCCGGCCATATTCCTGGAGAGGCTTCTCTTTCTAAGCCAGAGGCCTCTGGGGCTCTTGCTTTCTCCCTGCTTCGCCTTTCCATCCCCTGTGCAAAGCTGGCCACCACCTCTTGGTGAATCGCACCAGGCTCTTCCCAGAACCCCCCTTCACACACCTCCCCCTCTAGCCCATCTCTGCTCCCAGCAGCCGCATTGGCTCCCAGGTCTTCCCTTGGCCCTTCCCTGATGGGGCCAGTGGAGACCTTTCCCCTGCGCTGCCCAGCAGCGCGGCTTCATCCTTTCTTGCTGGCAGAAGTGATAAGGAGTCAGAGAGCCCTCCCACAGACCAGAGCTGGGCAAACAGACCGCTCCGCAGAGAGCAGGACAGAAATGGGTGCTAAAGCCCACGTGTGCAGCGCTGTTAAAATGCAGCAGTTTTGCCTGCGGAACCGTTTAGAGCCAAACACGTCAAAAGCTTTCCTTACCCATGTCAGACACATTCCTTCCTATGAAACACAACGGCATCCCGTGAGCAGGAGGACCCCCAGAATCCTCCAGGGACCCGCGTTTCCCAAATAAAGCCTGGCTACCACGGGGACACCCACCTATTTGTTCAATGAGGTTTCTCCAGGAGTCGGCGGGAATGGGGTGGATCATCCGCAGGGCCTCGGTGAGCGTGGTGGGGCTGTCGGCCAGGGCCGGCCACTCCTCGGGCGTGGTCCCATTTCCCGGGGTGGAAGACGACTCGCTGCCAGAGAGGGAGGAGGACAGGAGCTGGTTATTTTTAAGCAAGGATTCACCTTGGCTGGCTTGCGCGGAGCGTGCGCACAGGCGGCTGCTGGCCAGCCAGACCTTACTCGGGACCGTCCAGGGGCAGCGGCCGCAGCCACTGCCGCCCCTCCTGTCCGGGCGGGCCCCACAGGCCCTTTTTTGTCACCGCACCAGAGCCCGACAGGGTGATTCATTCCCACACCAACCCGCCCAAACCTCCATGGTTTTGGAGCTCCTGGGCAGGCGGTGGAAACTTGGCGCACCCTGTCTACTCTCCGGCACCATCCGCCTGCCCGACGGGTCCCGCGGCCAGAAAGCCACTTGGCGCCCCTCACCGTCACTCAGCCCCCGGCCCCTTTCGGACTCCGATCCTCCGGTCCCCAGGCCACGCGGCGCTGAAAGAGGGAGCCGAGCGGGACGCGCACGCCCAGGGCGCCAGGGGGTAGGACGCGGGAGGCGACTCCGGGCAGGGACCGGGGTCCCAGGGGCCTGGGCTGGGGCTTACCACCCACCCAACGGGGTGCGCGCCCGACAGGGGCCGGGGGTGGGAGTGGGGATGGCGGGGGCCCGCGGGGCAGTGGGAATAGGCCTCCCTGGGGGGTGCCCGGGGCCCGGGGCGCACGCTGGGAAGGAGGCAGGCGGGGGCGGCACGCCGGGGCCGGGACGGACGCCCGTCCTCACCTGCCGGGCAGGTGTCCCGCTGCCGAGTCGCGCGCGTCGCTCTCCGAGGTGGAGCTGTCGTGGTCCACGGCGCAGGCAGCGCTGAAGGCAGCGGCCAGCAGCTCCATGGGGCCGGCTGCGGGGCAGGCGCGGGGGCCGGGGCGGGGGCCACTTCGGGGCCCCGGGCTGGGTCGGGGGCGACAAGCGGGCTGCAGAGCGGGGTAGCAACGCGCGCGGCTCGACCCGAGCTGCCGCCGCCGCCGCCACCACCGCTGCCAAGCGCTCCCGCGGGCGAGCGCGCGCCTGGAGGCTCCCGGGGTTGCCACAGCAACGGGGAGGCGGGAGGGGCGCGCGCGGCGGGGGCGAGGCTGGGCGGCGGCAGGGCGGGGGTGCCCGGGCTGGGCGCGACCTGGGCCCCCCGGGCGCAGACTGCTGGCCGGGACCTCTCGCAAGCCCGCCCTTCCTCCTCCGCGCCGCCGCGCCCAGACCCGGAGAGGGGCAGCGCCCTAGGGGCCTGGGAGCTGCGCCTTTGCCTGCCCGCCCCCTCCTCGTGGCTGGCTCCGCGGGGCGTGCCTCGAAGGGGCGGGCGAGGCCACCCTCGGCCCCCAGTGCCCGCAGACCTCCGCCTTGCCCACGCCGGGCACTTCTGCAGTGTCCCGCAGGGTCGGAGTTCTGAGACCCAGCTCTGAAGCTCCGAGCCCGGCTTCGCGTAATGTGTCTCCCCAAGGAGAGGGAAGGGGTCTCCGTCTTGTCCCTGCTCCAGGCAGAGGCGGGGGTCTCAGGGGCTCCCTACAAGCCCACCCCTGAGCCTCGCGGTGGGGAGGAGGCCAGCGCGGAGGTCTCTCCCGGGCGAGTCTGATCGCTTGACTAGCGGCCCTCAGCTATGCACGACCCTGGCGGGTCCGGGGTGGGTTTGGGGGCACGAGAGGAGGAGAAACCAAGTGCCTGAAACCTCCACTGGTTGCCCTGCCCGGTGACAGCGACTCCTGGACTCTACGCCTTTGCGTTAGCTGGACCAGTCCGCTCGCGGATCACAAAGAGCAGAAAGGGCGACTGGAAGAGCGAGGCCTGGAGGTGGCCGCGGGCGGAGCCATGCGGCCCTCTGCTCCGGGATCATGCTGTCTGCTCAGGTGTGGCGAGGACATCTAGCAGGATGCCCACCTGGAAGGCCCCTGGGACGCTGCACAGTGTCCTTTTCCGGGGACCAGCCGGCTCACCTGGGTGGTCCCTTGGGTGACTGCTGCCTGCGCTAGCAGCCCGGGCCGGTCATGTATGTTTATGGCCCCGAGGATACCCCAGGGGCAGGGGTGGAGTCCGGATAATAGTATCCTGCAGGCTCCACCCAGCTCTGACTCTAGAAAAGGGTGCTCAGGTAGACTCAAGCCAGTCCCTAAAGCTGCCACTTAGCCCTGGTTCTCCCTTTGGGGCCAGAAAGGGCAGGTCTGATCTCTTACGGCCTGAGAGTTTGCTGAGAATATTCCAAACAACCATCTGGTCTTTTCCCAAGCTAAGCACCCCCCTTCCATGACTCACTCACATGGACCCAGGTATCCCCAGGCAGCCACCTCCTGCCCTTGGTGTGTTCTTCTGCTCACTGGCCATCTCCATCTGGCCATCCCACATCTTAGGCTGTCCTGGCTGCTATAACAAAATAACCATAGACTGGATGTGATGTGGTTTGACTGTGTCCCCACCCAAATCTTGAATTGTAGCTCCCATAATTCCCGTGTGTTGTGGGAGGGGCCAGGTGGGAGGTAATTGAATCATGGGCGTGGTTTCTCCCATTCTGTTCTCCTGGTAGTGAATAAGTCTCACGGGATCTGATGGTTTTATAAGGTGAAACCCCTTTCACTTGGTTCTCATTTTCTCTCTTGCCTGCTTCTACCATGTAAGATATGCTTTTTGCCTTCTGCCGTGATTGGGAGGCCTCCCCAACCACGTGGAACTGTGAATCCATTAAATGTCTTTTTCTTTACAAATTACCCAGTTTCGGGTATGTCTTTATCAGCAGCCTGAGAGTGGACTAATGCAGGGTGTCAACAGAACCTGTAAACAACAGACCCATTACTCACAGCTCCAGAGAATGGAAGGCTGAGCTCACAGTGCCACCATGGTCTGACCATGGTCTGATGCTGGTAAGGCCCTCCTCTGTGTCACTTACTGCTGACTTCTCAATGGTAACCCCAAATGATGAAAAGAGAGGGAGAGAGCTCTCTAGGGTCTCTTTTATGGGGTACTAATTCCATTTATGAGGGATCCACCCTCATGGCCTGGTCACCTCTTGAAGGCACCACCACCTAAGACCCATCACCCTGCGAGTTAGAATTTCAACATGGGAATGGGGGAGGGGAGACGCAAACATTCAGTCCATAATATTCCACCCCTGGTACCCCAAAAGTCATGTGCTTCTGGCATGTAAAATGCATTCATTCCATTTTAACAACCCAAAAGTTTTAACTTGTTCCAGCATCAACTCTAAAGTCTGAGGTCCAAAGTCTCATCTAAGTATCACCTCAGTCAGATGTGGGTGACACTCAAGGTGTGATTTATCCTGAGGTAAAAATTCCTTTCCAGCTGTGAACCTGTGAAACTAGACGAATTCTGTGTTTACGAAATACAATGGTGAGACGGACAGAGGATAAAAATTCCCATTCCAAAAGGGAGAAATAGAAAAAGGGAGAATGAGGAAGGAAGGACGAGAACAGAAAAGAAGTGACAGGTCCCCAGTAAGTTTAAAGCCTAGCAAGGCAATTCCACGAGGAAGATTCTCCAAAGCTGGGGTATAATCCTCTCTGCCTTGATGCTCTGCCTTTTGGACCCACTGAAGAGGCCCGCTTTCGGTGCCCACTGGTGTGGCGCTGTCCCCCCACAGCTGAGCGGGGCACTGTCCACTCTGTGCCGCTCCATTATTTGGTGGCTCGTACTATGCTTCCCTGTCAGAGGTGTGGAGCGATTGTATTTTGTGGAAGGTAGAAATCGGATATATAGTTGAATGGATTTCTAGGCAGTGTCAAAGGAGTGTCTTGGTTCTTTCTGACAAAATAGGAAAACTTGAGAAGAGAGAAATAATTTGAAGATGGAACTGTTAGGCAAAGAATGAGCAGAACTCAAGTATTTGAAAAAAATCCTCAGCCTTTCCATATTGCAAACTATGAGAAAACATATTCAGAAGAGAACTCTAAGGGTGTGATGGACAAGCCATTTGATAAGGAGGTGAGTGTGGGTGTGAACCACAGACTTCACCGTCCCAACAAAAGCCAAGAATAGAGATGAGATTCTACCAGCAGAAACAGTGGCAGCTGGGGCTGAGGAAACTGAGAAAATGGGACAAAATGAAGGAAGGAAGATTGCTGGACTTCTTAGACCCTACAGGACTGGACATAGAACCATTTGGCTGAAAACACATGCAATTCTTCCAGACGAGGGAAGAATGACTCAAAACGCTATTCAGAAATCAGCTGGCTCCCTCTCCTTCAACACTGCCCAGAATCCACTCGGCTAAATATCCAATTTCTGCCTTCCACAAAGCACAGTCCAGTCCAGTTCTTTGTCACTTTATAATGAGGATGGCCTCTTCTCCAGCGTCCAGTGGCACGTGCCTCATTGCTTTCTGGGCTGCATTAGTATGGTAACTGGTCTGGCAAAATCCATACTTCTTCCAACATTCTGTTCATGATGACTTAGTATTGGCTACACAGATGCAAGGGTTCTCTGCGGCTCCCCTCTCTTCTTTATGAGCTCTCTCCAGAATCACCTTTTAAATTCCATCCATGGCGACCTAGGTTTTTTTCTAGCACGTGCCTCAAAACTCTTCCAACCTCTACTCATTACCAAAGCCACAACCACATTTTTAGGAGCACCTTCCTTTCTTAGTGGCAATTTCTGTCTTAGTCTAGGCAAAGTGCTGTAGTCTGGGGGCCTATAAACAACAGAAATTCATTTCTCCCAGTCTGGAGGTTGGAAGTCTGAGACCATGGTGCCAGCATGGGCTGGTTCTGCAAAGGGCTCGCTTCCTGGCCGAGGGCGGCTGACTTCTCCCTGTACCCTCATGTGGTAGAAAGAGGGCTTGGGAGCTCTCTGAGGTCTCTTTTAAAGGGCACTAAGGGCCCTGTGCAGTGGCTCACGCCTGTAATCCTAGCACTTTGGGAGGCTGAGGTGGGTGGATCACCTGAGGTCAGGAGTTCGAGACCAGCCTGGTCAACATGGTAAAATCCCATCTCTACTAAAAATACAAAAAAAAAAAAAAAAAAATTAGCTGGGCATGGTGGTGGGTGCCTGTAGTCCCAGCTACTCAGGAGGCTGAGGCAGTAGAATCTCCTGAACCCAGGAGCAGAGGTTGCAGTGAGCTGTGATCGCAGCATGGCACTCCAGCCTGGGCAACAAGAGTGAAACTCCATCTCAAAAATAAATAAATAAATAAATGGCACTAAGCCCATTCATGAGGACTCTGCCCTCTAGGCCCCACTTCTCAAAGGCCCTACTTTCCAATACCATCACCTTGTGGGGTAGGATTTCAACATAGGAATTTTGTGGGAGGGATAAACTTTCAGTCCACAGCAGCCCCTAAAGGACTAAAGCTCAGCATACCTGACAGTGCACCCACTGTTTCCCCCAGCTCCCCTCCCAGCAGCAAACCAGGAGCCAAGTAGAACATGGGCGCTGGCCTCTGCTTCTGTACTTCCTGTCATCCGCTGTGCCAGTGGCTCACCAAGCTCCCTGGGTCCCACAAGTCGTTCAAAGCAGTCCCCTTCCCTGGTATCTGGACGACTGCAAGTCCCTCTTCCTCCCAGGCCGTACTTCTCTCTGCCCCTTTCTGGCAATGGGTCTAATTTTGTCCCTTCCCTGCTCAAACATCTTGGTTGGAATCTCATCTCTCCAAGGAGGAAGCCCAGCCCCTTGTGCTGTGACAGGTCCCTCACCTGCTGGCCCATGCATTTGTGAGCCTGGCAGGGGGCACTGCCCTCCCCAGCTCTCTGGAGCTTTGACCTGTCCATACTTTCCAGGTTCTCGGCTTTTCCAAGTGCTGTTCCCTCCCCTAGGACGGTGCTCTCCTAGTGACGCCCTCGTCCTTCCAGGTCTAGGCACACTGGGTGTCCCCACCAGTTCCCTTGTGCTACCTCACCTGCAGTTGCTGCCTGGCACTGCCTGATGTTCTGTTACGAGGGCATCCTTCCGGGAAGCCACGGGCCCCTCAGGATAGGAACCCTGCTGTCTCACTCATCTCTCATCGGGGGCCAAAGAAAAACACTTTATGGGCAAACGTAGATCTCCTGGTTTGCATGGCTGCGTTGTCCTGCAT